AAAGCAGAAACAATTCACATGTCCACCAACTGACAAATGATCAACAAAATGTGGAATATCCATACAATACGCATATTTGGAGCAGAAAAAAAATGAGGTTGCAACACATACTTCAACATGAATGAACCTTGAAAATATTATGTTAAGTGAATGCAATCAGTCAGAAAGGACCTCATACTGTATTATTCTTATCAAATGTCCAGAATATGAAAATCTATAGGGAGAGAAAGTAGATTAGCAGTTGCCTAGAGCTAGAGGGAAGGAGGGCATTGCAGGCTGACCGTGAAGGGGTAAGGTGGGGGGATTCTTTTAGGGGTAAATAAAAGTTTCTAAAGTTGATTATGGTGAAGGCTACACAACTCTGATTATACACAAAATACTGAATTGTCCATGTCACATGGGTAACTTTTATGATACATGGATTTTATCTCAATAAAGCTGTTAAAAAAATCATTTCAAATTTATATCAGATCTTTAGATAAATGTTTAAATTTCTTCAAGTCTTTTTTTTTTTTCAACGTTTTTTTATTTATTTTTGGGACAGAGAGAGACAGAGCATGAACGGGGGAGGGGCAGAGAGAGAGGGAGACACAGAATCGGAAACAGGCTCCAGGCTCCGAGCCATCAGCCCAGAGCCCAACGCGGGGCTCGAACTCACGGACCGCGAGATCGTGACCTGGCTGAAGTCGGACGCTTAACCGACTGCGCCACCCAGGCGCCCCTAAATTTCTTCAAGTCTTAATGTCGTCTTTAAACTAGTAATCCACTCTCAATTGTTAACTGACTATTCTCTTTCAGAGAATTGTTTAGATATTTACTAGCTAAATATAAATTTATCATAACTACACCAATCATTTTTCCATATGGTAGCATCTTCAATGAGAGTAACTACCATAATAGAAATGACTAAATATACCCAAGAATGTTTTTGATACGTGTAGTTTGCCTTCAGGTTCATATGGTAATCAGTTATAATTCTTAAAGTTCGAATAGATGTACCTCAATGTTTGATAGCCAAAACAAATTTAATAGGCAAATAACGAATTTTAAGGTTATAATGGTCACCTTTCAACTGTCAATCATGTTATTTACCTAGATTAAACATGGCTTTGTTCTTTTTTTTCTTAAAATTTTATTTTGAGAGAGAGAGAAAGAGAGAGAGAGAGGTGAGGGGTGGGGGGGGGGGTGCAGAGAGAACCGTAAGCAGGCTCCACACTGTCAGCACAGAGCCTGATGTGGGGCTCAAACCCACGAACCATGAGATCATGACCTGAGTGGAAACCAAGAGTCAAATGCTTAGCCAGTTGAGCCACCCAGGCACCCCAAAATGGCTTTGTTCTTAACAAGACATTTTTTACCCCTTTCCTCAGACAGAGCTTTAAAATGTTAAATGATATATAATATTGCCATAAACTGGGAACTTAGTTTTACCAAGATTTGTTCTTAACTGTTTATTTTGAAATAATTGTAGATACACAGAAAGTTGCAAAAAGAAACAAATGCACAGGTAGATCCTATGTATTCCTAACACCTTGCATGATTATAATACAACACAAAAACCAGGAAAGTGAAATTGGTACAACCCACAGAACTTACTTAGCTTTTAGCAGCCTTACACTCATTTGTGTGTATATGTACAGTTCTGTGTGAGTTCATCCTATGTATACGTTTGTCACCATCACCACGATCAAGAGGCAGAACTGTTTCACCACACACAACTCCCTGCTGCCATTCATTTATGGTCACACCCAACACTTTCTCAGACCCCGTCCCAAATCTTTGGCAACCACTAAGCTGTTCTCTGTCTTTAAAACTTGGTTCTTTCAAGAACGCTATATGAGTGCAATCACAAAGTGTGTAACCAACAGCACTGGCATTTTTCAATCAAGGTAATTCTCTGGAGATTCACGTAAGCTGTTGTATATATCAATAGTTCATTGTTTTTCATTACTGAGTAGTATTCTATGATACAGGTGTACCACAGTTTAACCCTTCATCTGTTGAAGAACTTCTGGGTTGTTCCCAATTTGAGTCTATGAAAAATACATGAACAGGTTGTGTGTGAGCATACATTTTGTTAATCTGAGATATGTTCACGGGTATTGCTAAATTCTAATTATGTAACAATTTTTTAAAATCTTCTGATGGTTTCTTTTTTTTATGTTTGTTTATTTTTGAGAGACAGCAAGTGTGCATGCAAGCAGGTGACGGGCAAAGAGAGAGACAGAGAGATAGAATCCAAAGTAGGCTCCAGGTTCGGAGCTGTCATCACGGAGCCCGAAGTGGGGCTTGAACCTATGAACCGTGAGATCATGACCTGAGCCGAAGTTGGACGCTTAACCAACTGAGCCACCCAGGTGCCTCTAGTTATGTAACAATTTTAGTATCAATTTTAGTATGTTTCTGAGAAAGGAAGATCGCCTTCAGTCTCCATTCTCCACTGTTGTTAATTGAACAAAATTCCTTTTGAAGTATACCATTTACTCAACTCTTACAGCAAATGAACTAAACATTTTAAATACATTAATCTATATAATCCCCACATCAACCATGGGGTAGTGATCAACAGTCTCCTTATCTTACAATTAAAAAAAAATAGAGGCAAAGAAGAGGTCTAGGGCACGATCCTGAGTCACAGAGCCAGGATGGAAAGAGCAGGGACTTAAATTCAAGCTATCTGACTCAGAAGTCTACTCCTTCCATTCCAAGACAGCATCCCTTCCACTCTTGGGATGTATGTATTATTAAATACAAAAAGCATACACTAGCACAAAAAGTATTTAGGGGATAAAGTTTATATGTGACTATTACATTTCCTAAGTGAGATTTTAAAAACTGGACATGATCTCTATCTAATATGCTATGCAAATGACCAAAATTCATCTGATAACCTGTTGCTATCTGCACAAACATTATACGGGTAAGAGGTAACCTGGGTACTAAAGGAAAATTCAGGTAAAGTAATCAGCTTTTCTCTACATGAAGCTTTCACTCTTCATTAGGCTTGTGGTAAATAGGAGGTCTGGGGCCAGATGAGAAAGGAGGAGAAGGGAGGGGCTCCTGGGTGGTTTAGTCAGTTGAGTGTCCAACTTTGGACCAGGTCATGATCTCACAGTTCATGAGTTCGAACCCCACAGGGGGCTCGTTGCTGTCAGTGTAAAACCCCCTTTGGGTCCTCTGTCCCCCACTCTCTCTGCCCCACCCCCGCCCATACACTCTCAAAGAAAAGAAACATTTAAAAAAAAACAAAAGGAGTGGGGAATGAGAGCAATGACATCCTTGTCCATGGATACACACTGTAGACTCTAAGACTCTAGAATACATATGAAAAATCTGAAGGAGCAAGGTCCACATCAGAGGTGATAACACATCCCAGGCCCCTACTCCCATGCTCTCTGACAAGCCCTGATGAGTAAGGAGAGGCTTCTTTCCAGAAGCTCTGGTAACAGGACCTATGCATTAGGGAATATATACTCGGATCTCCAGCCCTGCCTGTTGCCCAGAGAAACAAATAACAACAGGGTTCCTCACCAGCCATTCACAAACACTGTCATCAGAAAGGTCATCATCACAAACACCATCATCAGAAATACCATAATACATTTTTTTAATTTCGACATCTCTAAAATTTTCTGATTGATCATCAAATACTATCTTTTTTTCTTAATTTAACGTTAAGATTTGGTTTCTTTATTCCTACCACAATGAAAAATAATACAGAGGCCAAGCTGCACAGACCTTTAAATTTTTTTTTTTTTTCAACGTTTATTTATTTTTGGGACAGAGAGAGACAGAGCATGAACGGGGGAGGGGCAGAGAGAGAGAGGGAGACACAGAATCGGAAACAGGCTCCAGGCTCTGAGCCATCAGCCCAGAGACTGACGCGGGGCTCGAACTCACAGACCGCGAGATCGTGACCGGGCTGAAGTCGGACGCTTAACCGACTGCGCCACCCAGGCGCCCCTGCACAGACCTTTAAATAAAATTTAAAACTAGAAGTTTTTTACTAATTAAGGGGGAAATAAATTTACTTTGTAGCTATTATTAGCACATTTTGGCTTTTAATCATTGCTGCACATTAGAATCATGTGAGAATTTTTAAAAATCCCAATAGCCAGGTCATACCAATTAAATTTTTTAAATATCCAGAGGTGGGAGTCAGGTATTAATTATTTCCTTAAAGATACTCAGGTTATTAGCAATAACTGTAACAATTCCAGCAATTAAAACAAAACCCCTCTTTAAAAAAAAAAAAAAAGGAGAAATTATATAAACATTAGTTATACAGCTTGGACACTATACTAGTTAAGTCTAAAAATAACTTCCTTAAAAAAAAGTGACTTTCTAACAGCACTTAAATATTTTTTAATTATTTTTTAATATTTATTTATTTTTGAGAGACAGAAGACAGTGTGTGAGTAGGGAAGGGGCAGAAAGAAAGGGAGACACAGAACCGGAAGCAGCCTCCAGGCTCTGAGCCGTCAGCAAAGAGCCTGACACGATCATGACCTGAGCCAAAGTTGGACGCTCAACCAACTGAGCCACCCAGGTGCCCCAACAGCACTTAAATATTTAAATAGCTTTGAAAATCCTAGTGTACCTTGGTCTCCTTATTATTCATGCAAACTCTTAACTTTTCAGATATAAAAACTAATAATTCAGCAAAAAGCCATAATTCACTTAATTGTCCAAACTTCATAAAAAGTTTTAATTATCAAGTAGTAAGACTAACAGAAAATAAAGAATTCATGGACTTTGATTATCGATTTTATAGAAATCCCTAGTAAGTCAGCATCTAAGAAAGTAACCCAAGGAAATAATAATAGGTATACACCAAGTTATAACTATAAGAACACATTGTGATATATTATACATTAGAATTCTATACATTTATTTGAAATGTTATAAAACATTCAATGGCATGCAGGGTTTCATACTTAAATATAAGCCAGTCAGAAAACAGTTATAAAACAATATGCAAGATTATACCTGAAACTTACCTGCAGCTGAGCTGAATCATGCCTGAGACCTTCCACAATAGATGAAAATCTGTCAACGTATCTTTCTTCTCCAGCTGATGTTAAAGCTTCTAAAACCTCTTCAAGGCTATCAGAAAATTTGAAAATAATTAAATTGCCAACAGCAAATAATCTAAATGCCTTAATACAACTGCTTGATCTATTCAACTCCAGAGTCACTACTCCCAGAACCAGCAACATTTTAAAAGCTTACTGAGTACATAGCATGTATCAAGTACTAGCTACATGTTTTAATTCATTTATGCCTAATAACCCTATGATGAGGATAACTTATCAAACATTTATAAAGTGCTTTCTACACATCAGGCATTATTTAAATCAGTTTACAAATATTAACTCTTTTTAATGTATATAAGTCTATGAAGTTGGTATTGTCCCATGTTATAGAGCAAGAAACTGAGGGAGAAAAAAGTTAAGCAATTTTTCTAAGGTCTCACGTCTCCTAAATGATGAAGCAAGGATCTGAAATCAGACAGTCTTTGTGGTGAGCACTGTCCTGGTTTCCTTAATCACTACACTCTACTTCCTTTTCAGTGTAAATGAAGTCTGATAGCCAAAAATACACAGTAGTAAGGATTTATATACACACATTCGCACATAAAAAATATGCACATAAAAATACGCACATAAAAAGTAGCAGTTAAAGAGCTACAGTCGCTACACCTTTAAAGAAAGTGTGTTAACACGATCTAGTGTATTGTAGGTCAGTTTGTAGACGTAAACATGTGGTCTGTAAATGTTATCTGTATCATTTTAATAACCTATTATGAAGTCAAGAAATAATAAATATGGAAGAAGTAGAAGGAGAGGAAGGTGAAAAAAGAGGAGGAAAAAGAGAAAGAGGGTAAAGAAAGATGAGGGAAAGGAGATGGCCAAGAGGAGGGAAAAGGAAAGGAAAGGAGAAGGTGTTAAGGAGGCAAGAGGGAAGAGAGAAGACACAAGAAATGGGTGGAAAGAGGGAGGAGGAGAATGGAGCGGGAGGAGGAGAGGAACAAAGGCGGAGGGGGGAGCACTAGGTGCATCTTGTGTGTCAATAGTAAATACCCTCTTAGGGTTTTTACAATAAAGTTACTGTGGTCTTTTTGAAACACTTAAGGGAATGTGGTGCAGCTGTACCTGGCTTCACGTGCTGGCGCTGCTGCTGGGGACATCCTTGTCCGTGGACACACACCTAGCTACCCGTGTTGCCGCGGGGGGACATCCTTGTCCGTGGACACACGCTGTCGCTACCCGTGTAGCCATGGGGGGACATCCTTGTCCGTGGACACACACCTAGCTGTGCAGCCGCGAGGGGACATCCCTGTCTGTGGACACACACCGTAGCTACCCGTGCAGCCAAGGGCGGGGCCTGAGTCTTGCCTGCTGACTCTCCAATAATCCACACAGAGCAGCTCAACAGTTGCCAGGCCCAGGAGGGTCGCCACAAGGACAATTTTCAAATGCGTGCAGGAGGTTCTGCTTACAGGCCTCTCTACCTAGCCTTTATGAAAGGGCTATTTATTTACTCTGTAGGTTGTTCTGTTTTTATATCTTCACCCTTTTTAAAAGGTATTTTAAATAATTTTTAACTGCTTCCTGAAATAAGAATCCCAACCTTTCAAAAAAGAAAAAAAAGGGGGGTGGAGGTTTATCTTTATAATTATCTTTTAATATGTATGTAATGGTCTTTTGCTTACAATCCTAATATGTGTGGATAATGTCTTTAAAGTTTAAAACTCCAGGATGTATTTTTATGGTCAAAGACTACCCTCAACCAGTAAAGTACTATTACATATAGCACTTTTATTATTTTTTTAAGTTTATGTATGTATTTTGAGGGAAAGAGTGTGAGCATGGGTTAGGGAGGGGCAAAGACAGAGGGAATGAAAGAAACTCCCAAAGCAGGCTCCAGGCTGCTCCAGCACGGAGCCCGAGTGGGGCGAGTGGAGAGGCTCGGGGGCTCAAGCCCATGAACCATGAGATCATGACCTGAGCTGAAATCAAGAGTCGGAGGCTCAACCAACTAAGCCACTCAGGTGCCCCACAAATAGCATTTTTAAAATCTGCCTTACAAACAGATTTTCAAATAATATGATGTTTGCTTTTACAAGGGAAATTGCATGACCTACAATTTGAATTAACTCTATCTGGAAAACAAAAATCACTTAAGAAACAGAATCCATTTGCATATTTTTTTAAGTCTTTGTTGAGAATTTTTTTTTAGGGTTTGAATTCAGAACAACTTAAATACGATGAAGAAATAAGTTTTTTATAGAAAAAGGTTAGCCCATAACTACTATACTGATTGAGAAATAATTATTACTCAAACATTTCTGTTCAGACAATTATGAATCTAAATCAGCTGCTTAAGTAATACTTCATTTATTAACAGTAAATTCTGGTCTAAAATAGAATAATGAAAACATTAAGTAAATCAAATTATATTGTTATATAATTAGAGAAATGAGTTGAGAGGACTTACATGCTTTCCTCCCCTACAATGCATACTGCAGAGAGGAGTTTTACCACATCTGTCATCATACTTGGGTGCTTGGGATCGATGGCTTTGGCTAATAGAGAAAGACTTCTCTCTTCACTCATAATTCTTTCCAAGCCATACTGTAACATTTTGGAAATAAGAGGTTAAATGTTAGCAGTTTATTGGGGGAAAAAAAAAATAGTGCCCTAGAGGAAATACAGTTATTAAAAAAGTTTATAGGATAATAGGTTTTTTTTACTTTGTACAAGCTAGAAACTATAAGGAATGTATAACATCTTGGAAAAAATTCATAGACTTATTCACATCAAAAACTATGATAGTCAACCAAACATAACTCCTCAAAGGTGATTTTACAATAGTATGACTTACAATTACTAAGAAGGCTAAGTATCCAACTGGAGAAAGGGAGAAACAGTGAGGAAAATGGAGATTTCCCAACAGGAGCACACAAAATAAAAAGTCAGTTTTTGTACCAGACACTGAGGCCATAAGGAGCTTTCCTGGGAAGGATGGTTGGTAAGGGATATACCGCACAAGTAAATACACAGATCAGCTCTAACCCAGAGAAATATAATGAAAGCCACCCACACAATATCTAGTTTTCCAATAAGAAAGTAAAATTTTAATCAAATTAATCCAGTATATCTAAAATATTATCATTTCAACATAATCAATATAAAACATTTATTGATGAGACAGGAAGAAAAAATAACTAAGTATTCAAAACCCAGTGTGTGTTTTATGTTTACAACACATCTCAGTTCAGACAAGCCACCTTTCAAGTGCTCAATAGCCACAGGTGGTGACCACATTACATAACACACACCTAGATAGTAATGCTGAGTTCATAAAATGGGCACAGGTTGAAAGAAGATTTGGACAGATCCCATGTAGAAACTGCCATGAGGAGCATAGATACTCTGATCTGACTGGTATTTTATCATCAGAAAGACAATGCAGTTGTAAACACATTATATAAATGGGATGATGCTGGACAAGGATAAAGTTTGTTTGCTACTGCCAGGATGCCACATCCAATTAGAAGATAAGGAGTCATGTTAATGACTTCGTGTTTTGATTTGAGGATATATACACCTCTTAGGGCCCACTTACAATCTATGGGAGATAAGTATCAAATAACAGAGGATAAATAGAAGCAATAAAACAATATGATTTATCTTCTATGTATCCCAAAGGATCCTTCTAAAGAGTGAGAAATTGGTTGATTAGAATTACTACTGAACACTAAAAAGGACTTTAATCCCAATTACAGACCTATGAACTACAGCTTAACTCAAAGTTAACACTAGATATAATTATCAAAGTTAAATCTGTAACAAGCTTAGACCCAAATGCTGTGAGTGGTATGAAATCTTATTTCTAATTTTCCTATCGTGCCTACGTCATTTATATAAAGAAGCCGTCACACTGCTGAAAACACTGCATTTGTTCTTAACCACTATCTAAGGAACACAGGTACCAAGGAAGCAGCACAGGCAGAAGGGCCAAGGGCCCAGGATATGCTTTCTGGAGAGACATCTCGGTCTTGTTGGTGGCAGGGAAAAGTTTACAAATAGATAGCTAAGCCAGTCAGGAAATGATCCCTTTTGTGATGCCCTGGGCTGTCTCCTAACTGGAAACAAAGAAAGAGAAAGCAGGCATGGGGCCAAGGACTACAATGTTCTTCAATAACCATTATAGGGAATTGTCAGAGGTTTATAAAGTACCACTTAGATGCAATTCAAAAAGCCAATCAGTCAATGATTACCAAGTGCCAAAGAGCTGGCTCTGTCCTGAGAAACCAGAGGATTCAGTAAAGCATTTCCCTTTCATTTCCCACCCACTTGGATGTCCTTAGCCAACTCCTGCCCGTCTGGAATCAGAGTCCTGTGGCTCCTCCAAATACTCAAAACAACTCATACCGATTTCCTCCAAGTGATACTAACTACCTTCTCTGTGAAGCCCTCTAGCTCTAAACCATTATGAGTAGAGAGCAAAATACGAGCATTCTCTGATTTCAGAGTTTTCACTAGCACTTCCTAAACTCCAAAGCTCCACCATCGGCAGTATTCTGACTTTGCTAACATAAAAACATGCCGCGCTCATTTTAAGACTGGAATGAGGCCAGATTACCACCACTGAGCATCTAGAACTAAAGACAGAATTGCGGCCTACTTCATTAAAATTACTCTTGTTCAATTATTTAAAAAACAAAGCAAAGCAAACAAAAACTGTTGACTCTGTGAAAGAAATAATCAACTTACCAGTCCTAGCATTTAAAGTGCATTAAATGAAGCCTATTAGAACGTTAGAGAGGCGGTGACAAATTTTGGAAGGTCTAAGGTATCTCTCTACTGAATATCAAGGGGCCACTCTGGTTTCTATGAAAACTCATATGTTCTAAATCGAGGAATAAAGCCAGGTTCCATTTGCTTTCTACTTGAGGCCCATTATTACCTAACAGATAGAATGTCAAGCCACTGGAAAAGTGTTAGGTAGGGGAAGGTGAAGGCCCTAAATCCTTGTGTATGATACTCAACAGGGCATGAATCCTGATGCTCAATCACTACTTATGGTGAGTTAATCCCAGTAGCAGAGATAACACTGGGAAGGGGGCTGGCTTCAGGAGCAAAACACCTATGCTGGGGGGTGCACACCTTAAAGCAACACACAAAATGTTAACAGACCAAAATGTAGCCCCTGTTCTACTCACCTCTTAAACATATTTAACTTTTCATCATTTTATTGTTTCCCCTAATATTCAAAATCTTTTTCCATTTAGAAAATACTATTTAGTCCAATTTAGTGTTATAAGAAACTCACTTTCATCTGTTACCAGATTTACTCATTAATTACATAATTACTAGTGCCTAAGAAGGTACCACTTTTTTTCCCCTCTCAGAGCCTATATTTTTTTCATTATTCGAGGAACTCTTGTAAAGAGTACACAGTGACATAAATGAAAAACCATCAACAAATCTTGGGGAGGAGGGGGACTCTACCGAAAAATTATTTCATATATTATTAAGTTTAGAATTCAGAAAATAGAATAATTTCAAGTATCAGCAACTTTTTATTCTTATTAGCACAGATGATAGCCATCAACACAAATGGAAATAGATTCCAGCTCCACAGATACAAACTACAAGCAAAAGCAATCCATTATAAGGGAACACACTGTATCAATCAGAACCTAAATATATAAAGTTGACTCCCTCCCCAGGTCAGTCTGAAGTAGGAAATTGCTTCTGTACACCACCTCATCTCACTTTAATCCTGGTATTCCTCCCAAAATCAAAGAATGATCCACATGCCCCTTTAGTTTAAAAAAATGTTCCTGGATTTTCTCTACTGTCAGCCTTATCATCAGGGAAATTTCCAATTTCTATATTCTCAATTTACAAGGAGCCTCTCTAAAGCAATATTATGTCCTCAGGATAGAAAAATCGCTTTCTTCATTTACTCTTAAGACATATTGTAAAAAAGAATATGCAGTCTAACTAAAAACTAATTCTCACAGAACAATCCGTTCAAATATAGAATATATGTGAATATGTAACAATATAAAGAGGATTTCTACATCAGATATTCCCCTTGAAAATCATATTAGAGGCGCCTGGGTGGCTCAGTCAGTTGAGTGTCCAACTTTGGCTCAGGCTGTGATCTCACAGTTCGTGAGTTCGAGCCCCACAAGGAGCTTGCTGCTGTCAGCTTGTCAGGGCAGATCCCACTTCAGATCCTCTACTCTCTTTCCCTCTTCCCCTCCCCCACTCACACTCTCTCAAAAAATAAAACATTAAAAGAAAAGAAAAGAAAGAAAATCATATCTGATTGGAGAAGGCAGGGAGGTGAAAAATATCTCATTGTGCAAAAACAGAAATCTCAGCTCAAGAAAATGCTGAAAAATAAATAAGACATGAAGGATTAAAAAATATTGGGGCACCTAGGTGGCTCAGTCAGTTAAGTATCGAATTGTGGCTCAGGTCATGATCTCACAGCTCCTTAATTAGAGTCCTGCATCAGGCTCTGTGCTGACAGCTCAGGGCCTGGAGCCTGCTTTGGATTCTGTGTCTCCGTCTCTCTCTCTGCCCCTTCCCCTCTCATACTCAGTCTCTCCCTCAAAAATAAACATTAGAAAAAAAAGAAAAAAAGGAAAATAGAAATATTTGCTACATTTAATAAAAAGAAATATGAATGTTAATAACTGAAGTACCAGTACTTAAGTGTGTAAGTCTCTAAAGGCTTATTTTTAAAATGTAAGACAGGGGCGCCTGGGTGGCTCAGTCGGTTGAGCGTCCGACTTCAGCTCAGGTCATGATCTCACAGTCCGTGAGTTCGATCCCCGCGTCAGGCTCTGGGCTGATGGCTCAGAGCCTGGAGCCTGCTTCTGATTCTGTGTCTCTCTCTCTCCGCCCCTTCCCCGTTCATGCTCTGTCTCTCTCTGTCTCAAAAATAAATAAATGTAAAAAAAAAAAAAGAAAAAAAAGAAAATGTAAGACAAAATATTAAAAATTTGAAATTAATCAGAAATATACAGGCAGTTTTGCTGTGAAACACAAATCATCCTAACACCACAGGTAAAATTCCTCTCCTGCTGTCTAATGGCAACTAAAACACCGATCATTACTGTACCCATCATGAGGTAGATATGTTTAGATGTTGAAGCTAAAGACATGCCATGTGATAGAGCCAATTTCTGCAATTGACAGTATACAATATTTAAAAATGGGAACACTGTCCGAAAAATCTAACTTCAGTTAGGAGCTTCAAGTGTTCCTCTCTTCTTACGTATCCTCTTCAAATTTGCAAACTCTGCAGACCTGCCATATTGCCTGTGGTTTCAATATTACTTGTATGAAGCATCATTGCTCCATTTTGGGGACCGGCTTCTAATCGTTTCACACCTTTTCACGTTAATTTGATTGTAGATTTAAATTTCTAGGCTATGAAAACTAAATCTTTCCCACTGGATTCTCTGATAATAAATATTACTGCAGATCACGTTCAATTATCATGTATGATTTCAAAGCTTATTTTTGCTATACTTCTGAAAATTGAGAAGGAAGGAGGAAGAGAGAGGGGGGAACAGAAAGGAGGGTAGAAAGGGAGGATCAACCCACCCACAAGGATTTGTACTCAATAGCTTATCAAAGCAGTACATCACTTCAGTGCAAATTCTGTACTACACACAACTCTATTTTATACGAATTCTGTAAGTACCAGTGAAGAACGAATACAATGTAATTACCTATGTACATACCTGTGTGTTCATCAAAGCTTTTAGACACTGTATGACTTTATGCTGCTTCTTCTTTACAATTTTTTCTTGTCTGCATTGGCATAAAAAACATCACTGTTGGGATTATCTCTGGACATGCAAATGTAGCTTAATTGAAAATAAAATGAATATACTTACATTTTGCCGCTAATCAGTTTTTCCAAAATGTCCAGTAATAATCCAAGCCCCTCATGTCCAAAACTTTCCACCCAACTGATAAACAGGAAAACAAAAAACAAAAAACAAAAGGCAGTTATGCATGGTCAGTATTCTAGTTTAGAATATCACAATGAGATATGCTCACAAATATTTCATATTTGTTATATTCTAATCATAAATACAACATAAGAATATCATGTGCAAAGTCACTCATGATACATAATCTTATTTGTGAGAGCAGTGATGGGATAAACCAGACTATGTCCATCACTTCTGTGCTCCATGTCCAGCAACATTGTGTTGGTAGCTAGAATCTGCCCTGTGGGAAGTAACACAATGCAGAAATCAGCAAATGCTGCCAATCACCCCATCTCCCCCCACCCAGAGAGCTGGCCATTAAACATTTACCAACACACCCCTGGATAAGCCTCACTTTAAACTTTTACAAAGAGCAGAAATCAGGCAATATTTAAAGAGGGAAGGGGCGCCTGGGTGGCTCAGTCGCTTAAGAGTCTAACTCTTGATTTTAGCTCAGGTCATGATCTCACAGTTCATGAGTTCAAGCACTACACCAGGCTCTGCACTGACAGTGCAGAGCCTGCTTGGGATTCTCTGTCTCCTTCCCTCTCTCTCTCCCTCTCCTGCACTGGTTCTCACTCTCTCTCACTCTCTCTCTCAAGATAAAACACATAAACTTAAAAAAAAAAAAAAAAGATTTAAAGAGGGAGAACTCAGATGTACATATTGAAAAGAAAAGTCTTAGGAAAATTTCTCAAACCACTGAAATGCACCCTAATTTCCTAAGTTTCAAAGTTCGATTGTTTTAAGAGTTTCATCATTATTTTTAAATGAACATTTTCATCTTGACCAAACCACCTCTTTTCATAAACCCACTGGTATAATCACAGTACACTAATGTAATTAGGACATCACTGCCAATAGACAATTGCTTACCTTGGTTATAGAAAAACTACCTTAATGGGAATTAACACAATTTTTTTTCCAGTGGTGATTTAGGAAGCTTTGAACAAGAATATCATCTGTTTTTTTAAAAAGTAGGGGAAAGAAAATTTTAGGATATGTAACTGTGTTTATCTCTTTGTATATGTGTTTGTATGTATGATTGTGTGTGTGTGTGTGTGTGTGTGTGTGTGTGTGTGTGGCCTTTGAAAAATCGAACTTTAAAGACAAAGTTTCATCCAATAACCAAAAGCAAAATATTATAAACATTAAGAACAAGTCACATACCAAGATATAATACCATTTTCTTAAGACACAATAGAACATTTCCTATGACAATAAGAAAACCAAACACAACACTTTTAAATGAAAACAAATATTGTTTAAAAAAAATCTTCTTCATTTGTACACTTGTGAATACAGCTTACTCACTTATAAATGTTCAGAATTTCTGATTCCTACCACACCAAAAAAAAAAAAGCTATTTGTCATTTAGATTGGCAGACACTTGTCAACTATTTCACTTGTCTCCTCCCTGTCCAGTGAAAGCCATGGAGTAACTAATTCAAGAATGTACTTAAGCAAGAAACATACTCTGATACCCTCCTAGGAAAAGAAAAGCCTGGAATCACTATTACAGTGAAGGTGAGAAAAAAAAAGTTGAATAGAAGTCAGAGTTTTCAAACCAGGATACTACTTCAAAAGTGACGAGTTTACTCTCCACTATCAGCAACACACAGATTACCTGTAGGCATTTCAAATCTCACTTTCATGTTTCATGAAACACCTACAGCATCTGCTTAACTGTTTGCCTTGTTGACATCCTACTCCGTATTTATTCTTATTTCACATGAAGCAGGGAAGCTTGAAATCAAACACATAAAGAGTAACTTGAGAGTTTTACTGGGGCCGACACTGACACACGTGGACAGACTGTATTCATCGTGCCCTCCTGGGTTAGTGTCTCCAAGCGGGACTTCCTACTTTGAAGTGAATTTTTAACAATCTGTATATGCAAAAGTATAACCATGGAGACATTCAAAAGCTAACATAAATGATATAGGATTATTCATATGGCTATCCCTTTCAATCATTGTGGAAAATAAAGTCACTATTCCTAAAACTGCCTTATGCCAAAATAATTTAAAACTAGGTTAATATAACAAAATAAACTTTGTTTCACTTAATATGCTCATGGTGAAGCCTACTACAGAATTTAGGAAGCTTATCGATCCAAGTAAATCAAGTTAAGTCTTTTGGTCTAATTAATAGAACATAGTTTTGTTTGTTTGTTTGTTTTGTTTTTGTATTTTTTTAATTTATCACCCTTGGGGCACCTAAGTGGCTTAGCCGGTTAAGCGTCCGACTTCGGCTCAGGTCATGATCTCACGGTCCGTGAGTTCAAGCCCCGAGTCAGGGTCTGTGCTGACAGCTCAGAGCCTGGAGCCTGCTTCAGATTCTGTGTCTCCCTCTCTCTCTGACCCTCCCCCGTTCATGCTCTGTCTCTCTCTGTCTCAAAAATAAATAAACATTAAAAAAAATTATAAATAAATAAAAAAATAAATTTATCACCCTTAATGTAACAGTTATAACCAGAATGCTGTGACCCACAGAAGGTCTCATATTAACTATTTTTGGACCCACTAAATAACTCTTCTGAACTATAGAATATAAGCCATTGCAGTAAAACTTACATTCATTCAAGCATATTACATATGAACTACTTCTCTATAAAATAAACTTAATAAATTAAACGTAAAGAGACATTATACCAAATTACTTTACAATGCAATCTTTTAACTCGTGGTAGAAATTAATTTCTGAATAAAATCGGAGAGAATGGTAATAGCCTAATGAAAGTCAGACTATACATTTCATAAAATACATCAAAAACAAAGTGAGGGGACAAGGGGAGGAAACAAAGATGCTTGGTAACAAAAAAAAATACATATATATAATACTTAAACATAAAAAGCTGGTACTTACTAAAATATTAAAACACAAATTAAGTAAAAACGCTCTCTGTTTTCTTAGAAATTTGCAAGGCCAGGGGCGCCTGGGTGGCGCAGTCGGTTAAGTGTCCGACTTCAGCCAGGTCACGATCTCACGGTCCGTGAGTTCGAGCCCTGCGTCGGGCTCTGGGCGGATGGCTCAGAGCCTGGGGCCTGTTTCCGATTCTGTGTCTCCCTCTCTCTCTGCCCCTCCCCCGTTCATGCTCTGTCTCTCTCTGTCCCAAAAATAAATAAACGTTGAAAAAAAAATTAAAAAAAAAAAGAAATTTGCAAGGCCAGCATATTGTTGTACTAACAAGTTGTCACTAACAAACCCATTCTTTCAAAACCTTGGCCCCACCTCTACTATTTTCAGCATGATTTTTAAAAATAGGGGCAAGTCTTATTTCTTATCTTTTCTGGAAAAGACGTGCAAGATAAAAAGTGATATTGAGTAGGTAGGCCTGTGGTGCTGACAGAGGTTCATTGAAATCCATAGCTTTTTACAAAAGTAAAAGATTTCTCATCATCAATGTAAGAAGCAACCTGGAAAAAAAATTATCAACTGATCTATAAATGATCAATCTTTAGGAAACAAAATCTGTTCTATTTATTCTGTGCCTGTCAGCATAGTACCATCAGGCATTATGTGGTTTAACTATAAACTGCATTCATGGATGAATAAGCACTGTGCAAATGTTTCTTCCTCATGAATAGAAATGACATAGAGATTAGTATGACATTTGTATGGGGAAAAAATTGCTTAAAAACAGCAAAAAGTAATGTGCTAAGTACTAATTTAACACAAAATCTACCTCTTAAAATTCCGTAACAGGAAATATCAAACTCTTCTTTTTTAATTGCTTCAAGAAAAACTTCTAAGTATATTGCCATTTAGCACTTCCTAGCAGGGGGCTCCATGTAAGAGAAAAAAAGAGGTGAAGAGGTAACAAAAGGAAAAAAAAAAAGAGGGAGAAAGAGAGGTCTCTAGGATTAAATGTTCAAACTATCTTAAAATGTTCAAAGCAGCTTATGCTTTGAAATTCAGTTGTTGCTTCCTGAGACACAGGATGAAATCAAAGGTATGCAAAGTGGTTTCCTAGGTGTTGTTGGCTTTATGAAGCAAATACAGTCATCTCAATGAGCAGAAGAGGCAATAATCAGGTCTCAGATTTACTTCCTGGCCCAAGGACACTATCCATGTATATGTTTCCCACAGACTTAAGTTAGTTATCACCTCTCTTCCCAAATGTGCTCCAAGGAAGGTAAAGATAAATGCATCATAGATTGTCAGAACAAGAATAAACCAACCACATCCTAAGGGCAACCTTACCAGTCACATACACCTGGAGAATAGGGACCATTTCTAATTTGTCTTTACATTCTCCAGCACCTGGAATAGACTAAGCATTCAATAAATGGTTTTAAAATAAAACTGAATCTCCTTCCATTTTTATATATAAGAAAAGAAGACACAGAGAGAGGTTATGGTCACTTCGAAATAGCATCCAGGTCTGCTGATGCCCAGATTCACACCCTTACTTTACATACCTAGAAAAAAAGTACAAAGCAATGACGCTTCCCATGCAGTATCACTGAGCCTGTTCCAACCTTCATGCCAAATACATCAATTCTGATTTCAGAACTGGTACTTATCCATACTGAACCAAGGATGATGAATCTGGAGTCCCTGTCCTTAGCACACTTGAGGACTTGATTGACTGCAGCTCAAAGGGTGATGTTTCATTACTACTCAAACAAGTGTTCATTAACAAAGTCACTCAGCCTTTATGAAGGTCTCACTGTGTGCTTAATACTACAATAGGTATGACAAATACAAAACTGAATAAAACATGTTCTCTGCCCTTGAAAAGATCACAGACTAGTGGTTGAAACAAATGTTGAGCTAAATCATTTCCATAATATAATAAATGCTATAATCATGGTGCTAAGGGAACAGAAGATAACAGCATCTACCTCTCCTAGGAGCAAAGCAACTGATGTCTGACCTGAGTTTTCAAGGTTAAGTCAGAGAAAGAGCTGTTTCTAAGGCACTGGGAATGCATGCAAAGCCATTAAAAGAAATGGTCTGTGCCGAGTTCCAGAAACGGCTGTATGAGGTAAAACCAAAAAGGTAGGAAGGAGCTTCTGAAAAAAACTCTATACAATGTCATGGGCAATGGGAAGCCATTAGCACATGTGGTAGGCAGAATAATCTCACCCCTGCCCCCACCCCCACCCGGGAGATGGCCATGTCCTAACAGCAGAAGCTATGATGATCTGATATAGCAAAAAGAGGAAACAGAAAAGGAAATTCAGGTTACAAATCACAGGATTTTAAAATAGGGAAATGACCCTAAATTACCCAGGTGAGTCCAACCTAATGACCTAATTTACTTAAGTTGAAAGCCTTTCCCCCGCGGGATTGGAGAGATGAGGCGGAAGAGAGATGCAAAGCATGAGAAGGGCTCAAAGTTTACAAGCTTAAAGACAGAGAAAGGGGAATAGGAGCCAAGGAGTGCGGGTGGCCTCTAGAAGCTGAGACAACCCTCACATGGCAGCTAGCAAGAAAAAAGGGATGTCAGTCTCAAAACTGCAAGGAATTGAATTTTGTCATTAACTCAATCAAGTAAACATCAAGCACAAAGGATCGCTCTCCATTTATTCAGAACTTCTTTGATTTTCCTCATTATGATTTTGTAGTTTTCAGCATAAAACTGATTGCTAGTGAAAGAATATAACCAATTTTTTTCAGGTGAAAATTTTCCTCTTAATATTGAAGTGTACAGGGCAGTATTATCAACGATATATATGCACGCTGCTGTACAACACAGCTCTGAAACTTTTGCATCTTGCAAAATAAAGTCGATTTTTATCTTGAATCCAGCAATGTTGCTGCACCTACTGATTAGTTGTAGTTTTTACAGATTCTTTCAACTTTTCTATGTAAACATGTCATCTACAAAGAAGACAGTTACAGTTCTTCCTTTGGGATTTATACATTTTTGTTTCATTTGTACCTCTTCACTATGGCTAGAACTTCCAGCACTGTGTTGAACAAGAGTGGTGAAAGCAAACATCCTTGCCTCATCCCTAGTGTGAGGCGGAAAGTATTCAGCCTTTCACATTTAATGTTAGCTCAAGAATTTTTGTAGATTTAGGTTATCAAATTGAGAAAGTACTCCTCGGTATTAGTTTCCGAGAGTAGCTGTAACAAAGTACCGCGAAATAGAATACGTAGAGGAGAAGTTCATTCTCATAGTTCTGGAGGCTAGAACCCCAATGTCAGAAGTGGTGGGCTCCCTCTGAGACCATGGGTAGACCCCTTCCTTGCCTCTTCCTAGGTTCCGGTGTTAACGGCTAATCCAGGATTTCCCTACCTCCCATCACATGGCACTGTGTCTCTCTTCTTAAAAGAACATAAATCGGATTAAAAGCCCACTCTATTCCTTTATGACCTCATCTTACTCCATCTGTATTGACCCAATTTTCAAATGAGGTCCCATTCTAAGGCGCCAATTCGGACTTAACATTTTCCTGGGGGACACAATTCAATCCATAATGTCTTTCCTCTTCTGAGAGATTTTATTAGAAGTGTTTAGTTTTTGTCAAATCTTTGCATCTTTTGATACGTGATTTTCTTCTTTAGCCCTGTTGATATAGTGCATTTCAGTTAAGATTTTCATGTCTATATTTGTGATGGACATTAGTTTGTAAGTCTGGAGTTTGGGGTTTTGATTGTTATTGTCTTTGTTTGGCTTGCTATTAGTATCAGCTTCATAAAATAAATTGTGAATTGTTCCCTGCTCTTGTGTTTTCTGGAAAAGGCTGTGTAGAATTGGTATTAATTTTTCTTCAAATCTTTGGTAGAATTCTCCAGTGAAAGCATCTGTACTTGAAGATCTTTTAGGGACTCTTAAAATAGTAATTTAATTTCCTTAATAGCTAGAAGACTAGTCAAATATTCTATTTCATATTGGGTACGTTGTAGTACTTTCTTCTTCAAGAATTAGTCTTTAAAATAAGTTGTCAAATTTGTGTTTTAAGTTGTTTGTAGTATTGCCTTATGACCCTATCGACATTGAGTCTGTGGTGATATTCTGTTTTATTCCTAATACTGGCAATTTGTCTCTTTTCTTCATCAATAATAAAGGTTTATCAGTTTTATTAATCTTCCCAAAGAACTACATCCCTGTTTCACCAATTTCCTCTATTGTTATTCTGTTTCCAATTTAATTGATTCTACTCTTTATCATTACCTTATTTATTTTCTATTTTGCTTTTTAGATTAAGGTGAGAACTAAAATTATTTCTTGGAGCCCTTTTACTTCTCTAATGTATGTATTTAGTCCTACATATTCCCTTTCTCAGTACAACTTCAGATGTGTGCCACAAGCTTTGAAATGTATTTTCATTAACTTCAGTGTATCTTTTTATTTTCCTTGAGACTTCCCCTTTGACTCAAGGATTATATACAAATCTGTTGTCTGCTTTCCAAATGTTTGAATATCTTCCTGTTATCTTTGTTATTGATTTCTAGTTTGAGTCTTTTGGTAGAAGAACACATTTGGTATGGTTTCAATTCTTTTAAATTTGATGAGGTTTGCTTTGTGGCTCAGGATACAGTCTAACTTGGTACATGTTCTAAGAAGAGAATGTGTATTCTGCTATTAACTGAAATGTACTATACTATGCATTATGTATTTTACTTAATAGTAGTGTTGAGTTCTTATATCTTTAGTGATTTTCTGCCTAGGTGTTCTATTGATTATTGACTGAGTTGTGAAGTCTCCAAATCTAATTGTGGATTTATCTATTTCCTTCAGTTCTAGTATTTTTGCTTCATATATTGTGGACATCTGTAGCCTGATATGTATACTTAGGATGGGTCTTTTGGTGGATTGACTCTTAAAAATCAATCTTTTTCTTTACTCTGAGATCTAAATGATTGGATATTAAAACAGCCACAACTGCCTTTTGATTAATGTTTGCATAATATGTCTTATTATCATTTCACTTTCCATCTGTCTATATCAATATATTTGAAATGAATTTCTGATAGAAAGCATATAATCAGGTGATGTTTTTTAATCTACTCTGCCAGTCTCCTTTAATTAGCATAACCATTTACACATAATGTAATATTGACATGTTAAGCCCTAGTACTTATTTTTTGGATCTTGTTCATTCTGTTTGTTCATTTTCTTTTGCCTGCCTTCCTGTGGTTTACTTGAACCTATTTTAGAATTCCATTTTGATTTATTTATTGCATTTTTTATTTATAGCTCCTACAGCTTTTTAGAGGTTGCTCTAGGTACATCAGAATATATCAAAGCTTATTGGCGTCATTGTCTCACACGCTTGTGCGAATGGTAGAAGTCTTCCATCCCATTATGAATCGAATAGTATCCCTCCAATTCATACATACAGGCCCACACCCACAATGTGATAATATTTGGAGATAAGGCCTTCACATAGATTATTAAGGTTAAGGGACATCACAAGGATAGGGGCCTAATCCAGTATGACGAATGTCCTCGTAAGAGGAAGACACCAGGATTGCACACCCACAGAGGAAAGGCCATGCGAAGACACTACAAGACAGCAGCCACCTGCAAGCCGAAGAAAGAGGCCATAGAAGAAACCAACCCTGAGGGCACCTGACCATGACCTTAAGGCTTCCAGCCTCTGTAATACTGAGAAAATAAATTTCTGTTTAAGCCACCCAGGTTGCAGCCTTTTTACTATGGCACCCCAAGCTAACACATCTCCCTTTATGCACTTTACCCTCTCCATTTAGAGTATCATTGTTATAAGTACTTCCTCTATGTACAGTGAGAACCTCATCAGACAGATATAAGTTTTGCTTCTACCAAACATAATTTAGAAAATTCAAAGAAAGGAAAGTACACTTACCCACATTTTTATTTACACTGTACACTTTCTCTTCCCAGTATTTCAAGGATGCCTTCTTGTATTTCTTTTATTATTATTATTATTTTCTTATTCTTTTTCTTATTATTCTTTTATTATTTTTCTGTTTAGAAAATATCATTAGCTATTCTTTTAAGGCCAAAAATTCCCTTTGTTTTCTTTCATCTCAGCATGTCTTGATTTTGCCTTCACTCCTGAAGAATACATTCACAGCACGCAAGATTCTGAGCTGGCTGTTCTTGGCTTTCTTCATTTAAAAACTGTTTCTACCACATGCTTTGGGCCTCCATAGTTTCTGAAGAGAAATCCAGTGTCATGCCATTGGTTTTCTCCATAACCAAAGTGGCATCTCGGGTTGCTTTCAAGAATTTTTACTGTTTTCAGTTGTCAGAAGTTTGACTATGGAAGGTCCTAACGTGAGTTTCTCTGGGTTCACCCTATTTGCAGTTTCACTAGGTTTCTTGAATCTGTAGGTTTAGGTCTTTTGCCAAACTTGGGAAATATTTAGCCATTATTTCTTCATGTAACTTTGCTATCCTCCCACCTCTCAGATCCTCCTAGGATTTGGATAACAAAATGTTAAATCTTTTATTATAGTGCCACAGTTGACTGAGGCTCTGTTTTGGTTTTCATTTCCTCTCTGTTCAGATTGGGTATTTTCTATTATTCTACACTGCAGATCACCAATTCTTTCCTCTCATCCTCGCATTTTGTTGTTGTGCCCCTCCAGTAAGTTTTTCATTTCAGTTATTGTAGTCTTCAATTCCAAAATTTCTATTTGATCTTTTAAAAAGAATAAAGTTTCTTCTATTTCTTTACGGAGACTATTTTTTTTTTCTTTCAGCATATTCATACTTGCTCATTAAAACATCTTTAGGATGGCTCCTTTGAACATCTTTATTAGAATGTTCAAATATCTCTGACAACTCGTTGTCTATTAGTAAAGGTCTTTTTGCACTCGGTTTGAAACCTTCCTCCTTTTTATGATGACAGGTTTTCTATATTGAAACCTGGAAACAGGTTATTATGTTATGATACTTCAGATTTTATTTCAACCTGTTTTTTTAGCTGGCTTCCTACGATACAGCTCAGGTGGAGGAAGGAGGACAGGCATCCCCTCAATACCGCCAGGTGAACACACGAGTCCATGTTCTCCAATTGGCCTCTGCTGATACCTCAGAAAGAGGCTTCTTGTTATTGCTGGACATGGATGGGTGTCTGAGCTCCCCACCTAGCCTCCATGGTACCTCCCTGGCAGGGAGAAGTAGGACTGCCTTGTTATGCTCACGTAACCCCCACTAGAACCAATGGGAGGGGAGGTTTGTTTCCAAATCTGTTTTTGCCAGGTGTACCTATTACTGTAATTAATTTAATAAAAATTACATAAACAGACAAGTCACTGCCAAAGAAGCTGCTATTTCTATGAAAACCAAGCCTAATGCTTTGAAAAAGTTTTTTAAATGGCATTTTAAAAAATGCCAGAGAAATAGACGTGAACACAAGTGTTTACTATTGAGAGACATCAAAAAGACTTTACAAAAGAATTCTGTAAACTTTATAAGAGCCTCTACATTTCTGTTCCACCTTAAAATACCAATATGAGGAAGACAGTGCATCATGGATGTGGTTTATATAATCATCTATTTCTACTCAGAAGTAGAGCAGGTGCTACTCTGACCTCCTCATCAAAAGTATAGAGGAAAAAAAAATGTTCAATCTTTTGAATCCAAAGAATGTTTAGGACATATGTAAATCATTTATCATTCCCTGTGTTAGCCCTAAAAACCAATAGCATCAAACAAAAGGACTTCTTCAGTAGACACACACACACTTCCATATAGTGCCTTCTTAAGTAGGTGATATTACACATTTGTTTCTTCATTTTGCTTGTGTTTTATCTATTTTCTTATAATGAACTCCTACTTTTTGTAGTAAGAAAATTTTTTAATTACCTCCAAGAATAATCTTACATAAACACCTAGGGAAGCACAAAGTTATTTTGCTCAAAATCAATATAAGAAACATCCTGAAAGGGGAAAAAAAATATCACTGGTCACATGTGACAAAGTAACGAATTTTATACCTTAACCTTAGAAGGTCAGCTTTAATACTGTGTAATATCCAAATCCAATTTACATTCCTCGGTCAGAGTAATATATCACCAATGCCGAATATAATTATAGCTTATTTTAGCTTTCATTTTCACCTACTCTTAGCAAGGTGACTAAATACTTACAATGAACCGGCAGGGGGTGGGGCGGGGGGGGGGGGGTTGGGCGTAGAGGAGCACAAAGCAATTAACATGCCCTACAGGACAAAACAAACATACACCTCCATCCCAACTGATGGGCATCCACAAAAATTACACTGAATTATACAGGGAATGCAGTAACTAAATAATGTTCTGATTTAAAAATCTACCAAAATTCAAAATGCAATCATTAATACATATATTTTCTAGGAACTGACTTTTAAAGAAATGATATATTTAAAACCAGTCACTTATTCTCACTTCTAATATTAGATGAGACAGTAGAGTAACAAACTAAGTAGTCTATTCTCTTAGTTACTTTCTAGCAGTAACATATTGAAAGGTATAAACTATCTAGAAAAAGTAGTCCAAATAGCACAAAAAGAAAACCAGATGAACTGCAGTGATGTAACACAAATCACCAATAAGAAAGATGAGCTCTTGATCTTTAAGTGAAAAGACAGTAAAAGAACTATAGAGTTGAAATAACATATACTGGCATGTGCTCTAATCAAAACTTTAGTCCACTATTAAAAGAAACATTGCAGAAAAAAAAATCTTTTGGAATGTATTAAATAGGAGTAAAGGAGTTTCTTGGTATCAAATCAAAATATCATTACTTCAGGAAAGCATTAATGAATTTTTCATCTTAAACAGACTAATTTGACAACCAATATGCGAGGGGGGAAAGATCCCATTATAGTGCAGGTCTTCCACCATCTGTTTTCACCCGAAGTACTTGCTACTATTGCCCAATACTAGTCCCATAAACTTCATTATCAAGTCTATCATCTGCTCCTCATTCTGTCAAGTTCATAACTACCTTCACTCATAATGCTCCCCTCCAAAGAGCTGCCTCTTCAGTTACAAATGAAACTATTTCACCTTTCAACAGCCAATGCAAGTTTGTCTTCTTTGAACTCTAGTTCATCTAAGTTTCTCCATTTGCTTACTGGGTCTTACCCACTTGGCCCCAGATCTCTCTCCAGTTACTGTCCGTTTCTTTTTTATAGCATAATGTCTCAATTGCCTCTGAAGAATGGTTAGTACAAGAAGTACTTCTTCACCATCCATTCTTTACCATCCATTTATTCCATCTCACTTCATCTGGCTTCTGCCACCCAGACTCCACAAAACTGCTTTCCTCGAAGGTCACCAAGAACGCTCCTCTTGCTCATTCTGGCAGTAACATCTTGCCCCAGGTCTCAGGAGCATTCATGTGGTTTGCCACTTGACCCTACTGAAACTCTCTTCCTCTCTTAGGCTCAGGAAACCAGCCTTTCTGGGTTCTCCTCCTCCCAAATGACCACTGCTCAGTCTGTTTTTCTGTTTTTCTGGTTTCTCTAGCCTTTCTAGACCATGGATAACTGCTGGAGTTCCCCAGGGCTTCTGAGTGTTTTTCTGTATCTTCCTTCCTTCCTTCCTTCCTTCCTTCCTTCCTTCCTTTTCTTTTCTTTTCTTTTCTTTTCTTTTCTTTTCTTTTTCTCTCTCTCTCCGCCCCCTGCACCTCCCCCCCCACCGGAACTCTCAACTATTCTCAGTGCTTTATGTACAGTCTACATATCAACAGTAGGTAGGCATCTCCACATGTCTCCACTGAGCTCCAGACTCCATTATCCAGCTGCTTGCTTGTTCATATCTCCAACTGTGAAACTCAAACATATCGAACTTAACAAATATTTTTGTTTTCCACAAAATGTATGAAACAAGTAACAAAACTATCTTCTTCTATCGCTGTTAATGGCACTACTTTCATCAGGTCACAAAATCTAGATGTCATTATTGATTCCTCCACTTCAGTCACACACCACAGCCGATCTGTCAACAGGTCCTACAGTTTGTACCTCCAGTTTATCTGCAAAACCCACCCTCTCATCACCCCACCACTACTACAATCCTCATCCAAGCCATGCTCATCACTCCTGTGACTAGGCCATGGCCTCCTTTCTGATCTCCCTGTCCACTCTATCCTCCCTTCAATACACTGTCCCCAAAGCAGTTCCTTTTAAAAGGTAAACTTAGAAATATGTGATTTCCATGGGGTGCCTGGTGGCTCTGACAGCTCAGAACCTGGAGCCTGTACGGATTCTGTGTCTCCCTCTCTTCCTGTCTCTCTCTGTCTCTCTCTGTCTCAAAAATAATTGAACATAAGAAATATGTCATTTGCTATGTAAATCTCATTAACAGCCTCATACTTATTTAAAAAAATCTTATGTCTCCCCCCAAGTCACCCTTAAGGCCTCTCATGACCTGGCCACTGTCCACCTCCCTGATGGCTCCATGGCCTCTGAGATTCGACCTCCCTCCCTCCAATCTCCTGCCACTCTCCACTTTCCTCACCTCAGGGTCTCTGCTGCCCGAGAGATGCTTCCTGGCCCTGAAGCAAAGCCTAAGCTTCTCTTAACTAATTCCTTGTCTTCTTAGTCTCTTACTCTTTACTACCTCAAAGACTTCCTCTGACGAGCTTGTATCTAAAAGTGCTCTATGCACTATTCTCAGTCCCTGATTTTTTCTTAACTGAACTGGTATCTTCTGTTAT